GGGGGGAAAGGGGGGGGGGGGAGGGACGGTGGGTGGACGTACCGATGTTACCTGGTGGGGCGGGTCTTTGGGGTGGCCCAGGAACTGGTGTCACTCCAGTACTTACGTTTGCTTTTTGAGAGGGAAAGAAGGTTGTTAGTTTTTTTATGGGGCGGGGGTGAAGAAATTATATGAGACTGTTTTTTTTTATTCAAGGCTTGAAAAATAATAAGACAGTTGTTTATTATTTTCCTTCGTTTCGTCGAGAGGATGAACAAAAAAACAAAAACGATAAAATGATAAATTTAAAGAAATTAATGTAAATAAATTAGATTTGACTGTGAAGTGTCAAATGGGGGGGAGTATATATCATATATTGATTAGAAGAATCCTCATTAGTTCATTATTAACATTAACTCTTCAGGGAATTGTTAAATCGTGATAAGTAAAATTTAAATAAAGGTCAATAAAACATAAATCTCATGTAATTCCTCATTCTTTCAGTAAGCAGGTAGGTTTAAACATTCAAATGAAATGAATACATACTAATTGTAATGATAAACATACCCATGAAGGGTGGTGCAGGTCTAGCGGGTGGTTTAGCTGGAATATTTGTTGGAAGTGTACCACTAGCACCACTAAATTGTCGCGACCCTGTGTACGTGTCATGCGAGCATACGAAAATATGTGAACATCAGTTTAATATTCAGTTAAAAGTCGTGATTTGTTAGTTTCTCAGTGCAGGTTCATCTAGATGATTGTTATTTCAAGGTGAGATGTATTTTTTGGGACTTACCGAGGGGCATCTGCACTGGGGGAACTACTGGCCTCCCTGGGGCTGTCATCACTGGCTGGGCTGGCACTGCTCCACCGAGATTCACTAGAGAGCTTACGTTCTGCTGCTGAACTGGAAATCCACCGTTTGAAACTGCTGGAGGAGCTGAAAAATTTTCAATTAAAAATAGTCAGTCAATTTTTCTAAATTTCCATTTTGTAGTCACTTATTCATTAATTCATTTATTTATATATTTTTGTTAATGAACTGTCAAATGCCAAATTTATCAATAAATAAATAATAATTCGTAAAATAGTTCCAGTGGATGTTAATTTTTTTTAAAGAATAATTTACCTGCAATTGGTGACTTTAAACTCTGGACAAGAGAAGGAGGCAGTGCCTTTGGGACTTCAAGGCCTCTCAACTTGAGGTGAATCAATTTGCAGGCGATGCTAAACTCGTTGACATCCATTTTTCCATCGGCATCGGTGTCTGACAGGGCCCAGATCTGTCCTAGAATGGCTGGGGGCAGCTGAGATCGTAATAAAAATCCCTTGGCCTGTTCTCCAGTCACAACACCATTGACTGGCTTCAGTGCATCAAACTGCTCTTTGTAGTGGATCTTCTCCCTGGGTTGGATCGCCCAGGGATCCATACCTGCACGATAAAATGACACATAATAAATTATTTTTAATTAAAATTATTTGAATTGAATTTTACGATTTTAGAAGAAAATGTCATGAACTTCTTTATTATTTATTTTTCGAATTATCAAAAGACATTGTTTTTTTAAGAATTTGTTATAATTTATATAAAATGTCTCTCCCCTTCTCCAACAATTTCTCATAAAAAAATTGCGTGTTGAAAAAATTATTTGATGCCTTAAATTTTACAATTTTATGAGAAAATGTCAAAACATTTTTGCCACAGAGGAAGAAATGATCTTCTTTATAAATTCTNAAAAAAAAAAAAAAAAAAAAAAAAAAAAAAAAAAAAAAAAAAAAAAAAAAAAAAAAAAAAAAAAAAAAAAAAATTCTTCATTAATTGGCAAACATTTTGGTAACAAGTAGTTCTAGAGATAAATTTAAAAAGATATTTTAAAAAAGGAATAATTATGATTAAAAATCCTCCTGTCACAATCCACAACCCGAGAATAATTTTCCGAAAGTGAATGAAAAAATCAATGAATTACCTCCTGCCTGGGGCATAGCCATCTCTCAAGCTTGTCTCTCCCTTCACCTTCACTTCCTGCAATAAAAAATTATGATGAAACGATCAGATAAGCCCCCCGTAACCCCCAATTACCTAGGAAGACAGATAAATGTCAAACTGTCTGTCCTAACCTCCAACCCTATCTCGATCGATGAAATATGTGTCAAGGAATCAAACACACTTTGATAATGAATTTGTGGGAGGTGGAGGTGGACAGAAGGGGGCGTGCGACTCCTAAAAGTCGATCAAACGTGTCCGGAAGTGCAAAAAAGCCTCAATTACCCAATTTTTACGAGTGAAATGTCAAAGAAAATGGACTTGAAAGTCGAAATGACTGTCCTGAGGAGCTGCTCTGTCCCTTCTGGACACTCTAGGGTCAATGAATTCCTCTGGACGACTACAAATGCATCATCAACGTCGTCAGAAGTCATGCGAGATGATTTAAAGTCACTTTCAGACGTTTTGAGACGTCTCTACGAATAAAATGTTGCCCTTACCTCGATATTAATCCTCGCACTTGGGTTAATTCACCAAGAGTGCATCGACTCTGACATCATCACTGACTTCTCCGGTCCTTGCACTGTCCCCTCGACACCTCGAGTGTCTTCACCCCCCTATTTGTTTCACCTACACGAAGTAACAATAGCCAACACCGGAATTGTGCGATGGAAAGGCGAGAAAAATCGACTTTGCCAATTTAACGTTAGAAATTGCCCCCTCTCCACCGGTTATTTTTTTATTATTTATCTCAGTGAAATGCTCCCCCAATTGTTAGTCAAACCGACAATGTCAGGGGGACAACAATCATCAACCCCCCCCCAGGGTGAACTGTCGACTGATGGAATTCAATTTGGAGAATTATTTTTTTGCGTATTCACGAACACTTGAGTGATGCCGTGGGGGCTCACACACACATGGGTGGAGAGGGGGGAGTCGATTATTTTCGGGCAAGTCCGGGGGGAATCGATAGGCGTCACGAACGGTGGGTAATACAGGGTTTGAGGGGTATTGGTGGGTTTTAGGGGTATCACTGGTTTTTAGGGGGCGATTGGGATCTAGGGGNGGGGGGGGGGGGGAATTTTTTGAAAATTTCTTGGAATTTGTGATGCTCTTTAAAAAAAAACATTTTCATATTTTTTGTAAAAAAAAAATGTTTTTATATTTTTTGTACAAAAAAAAACGTTTTTAATTTTGTTTTGTACAAAAAAACATTTTCAATTTATTTTTTTTGTAAAAATGTATCTAAAATAAATTAAAATCAATTAATAAATTAAATTAAAAACATTTTTTTTGTATCATCTTCATTTTCTAGGGGAATTTTTGTAAGGAGCATTTTTTTTCAGGGAGGTTTCAAGGATAGAAATTGTTAAAATAAAATTATCAAATGAAATGATTTAAAAAACTGAGGGCCTTTTTGATTCCTCCTATGATGTTTTCTGTATCTCTAGTAGATCTGGAGATATTTACGAAGAAGTTATGTTGAAAAGAAAAAATGAAAATCTATATTTTTCCCAATTTTCATTATAAAAAAAAATAAAAAAAAATAGTGATATTCAATCTTGCAAAAATTATTATGCCACTCATCAATCCACATACTTCAATAAAAAATAAAGGTCACGTAATAATTTTCACAATTAATCTCTCAAAAAAATCGATCTAAAAATAATTTTCTTTTCAAGTTCTCTTGAAAAAAAAATCAAACAAATTTAAAAAATAATAATGCTAATTATCCTAATGAACCTCTCTTTGCCTGAAATTTTTCACCACTCTCTAAACCTATTTATATCCCATCATTAACGTCCCATTGACGATGAGAAAAATCCATAAATAAACTTGAATCCTTTTTTTTCATCTTTTTACGAATGGGTAAATGCCACTCACACGTCCTTGGTTACATGGGCTCTCTCGGTGGCATGAACTCGCCGCACAGTGAATCGTATAACCCGGCGTGTAAATAGAGACGCGCGTGCGCGCACTCGCATTGCTCATTGTCCTTTTGCGGGGATAACTTCTAGTATGAAAATTGTTGTAACATACGATACATTGGCCGGTGTCCACGTTGTCAGGCCCAATGGTAACTCAGTAGTATAAATGATCGGCTTCCTGTGACGCAAAAGGTCACTGTCAAAACTCCACCGAGTTACCGTGTAAAAAAGAGCAGTCTCGTGTCTCAGAAAAAAAAAAAACATTGAGATGAACCATTGAAAATGATAAAAAAATTTATATAAACGAAAATGTGAAATTTCTTCATTTCGGAAGTCTCATTCATTAAACGGCTGTTATCATGGAAATGTGTGCGAGCGGGTGAACTACATCGATAACATACGAACGATAATATTTCATCACGGAGCATCGATTTTTAAAACATTGAGGCAAGTTCTTCGATTTCAATTGCAAAATTATGAAATTAAATAAAATTACACGACTTTTGGACGAATCCGAATTGGTTTTCATTGATATCTCTAAATCTATTGGAGATGACGAAATTTTGGTGAGATTTTGTTTTGTAGAAAAATTTTACAGCTTCAAAAAAGTATTTATGAAAAATTTTGCCATCTCTCCTGCATTTGAAGATATTCGGAAAAAACTGGTTGTGAATCCGGAGTTATCTTGTTTCATCGTTTTAGAACCGACTTTCGGACGCGTTTTCCCTTGATATCTCTGAATCTATTGGAGATAGCGAAATTTTTGTTAAGAGCATTTCGGTGAATAAATTTGAGATCTACAAAAAAGTCCTTATAAAATTTTTTCTATCTCTGCTGGATTCGCAGATATTCTCAAAAAACTGGTTGTAAATCAAAATTAACTTGTTTTATCGTTTTACAATCAATTTTTATCGGTCGTACTGCGGCGAAAATATCGCTGTCACGTGTTCGGCAGTTTTGTTTTTTATCCGGTTATGAAAAGCCATTAACTATTTCAAGACTAGAAATTAATCAGCAATGTAATGAGTCAGGTAATTTTTCCGGTCTTTTATTATGCGGAAAAAATTAACACTGTTTCAATCGTCGAGCAAATTATTGTTGCGATAAGGCGCGAGTGTTATCGCGCTTTATTAAAGGGATCATGCAAAAAAAAATGTTTTTCCTTTCATTTTCCAAATTAAAAAAAAAAAAAAACTTCAATGGGACTGGCGCATCAGCTGGCCACCTAATGAATAGTTTATTTGGCTCAGGGTTTGCATATATCTCTAGGGTCACACATCAACTCGAATGCCCAAGTATGTGTATTAACGTACCAAATACTATTAATAATATGTCTAGACGATACCATAAAAAGATAACAAAATTTAAATCCTAGAAGATCAATTTAGATCAAATTTCTCCACACCTGTACAAACATGAGGCGAATAAAAAATTTCAGACGTTTTCTCGTAGACGTCAATTCTCAAAAAAAAAAAAAAAACATTTTCCTCTAAACCCAAAGCTACAATCAAATGAGCCCATCAGTTCCCACGAAACCCAATAAAAAATGAAGTCAAATCAAAATAAATCCAATTAACCCCATCCCCTCAATCATAAAAAACATCCGATCGTCGCAATTGATCCAAACAAACTGCGATTCCCCCGAAATCAACGGACACGTGGACGAATTAAATTCACTAAATGGTCCAATCATCCTCCGCACACCGCACTGCGCACATCACGTGTGTTCCTCCCCCCCCTCGACGAAGGGCGAGACAGAGCCAGCGTCCCTTGCCCGAAAAGTCCCTTCCAAAAATAAAAAACTCTTTGCACAAACTTTTTTTTTTCATCAAAAGAACCACCGAGTCCCCAATCCAATGATTCTGCGCATGCCTCCCATAGACCGTAGGCATTGAGCTTTACCCAGTTTATGAGTTTGTCTCTTCCGTCGAGTGAACGTATATTTTAGTCAAAGTTCGCACACTTGTCCATAAAGATTTGGCGCGCAATCATTACTCAACGATTTCTATTTTTAATTTCATTAACTCGAGCTCGACTCTTGACCGCAGAGTCGATGATTTTCTATGTGGGTGAGTTTAATCTATAAATAAAATGTAATACAATGTTAAGCTGATGCTGTAGAGGAGGATGGAGCACGTGGTTGTGTGAATTATTCATGGGGATGAATTAAAAATGTCGTGGAATGTCGTTGAGAATGAGAAAAGCCGGGGTATTTGACCAAGTGGACGTGTGTACAGTTGATGGTGGTGGTGATGAACAGAAGAGTGAGAGAGAGAGTGAGTGAATGAGAGAGAGAGGGGGAATTTCTCACGCATTCGTATTGGTTCTAAGCATTGGGCATCGTACGATCATTGTGTGGGCAATGGTGTTCAGTAGAAACGGGCTTGTACACTCGTGTGAGAACGCGTGAATGCTCAACCGGCCGGCATCGCCGGCCTGCCGACGTTCGACACCATCCCTTTTCGTGTTGTCCATGCCATTGAGTGGATTTTACAGCGAGAATTATTTGACTTTGTCATGGTATTGCAGTTTTTACAAGGGGTTTGTTTGGCGATTATTTTGCCACTATCTCGGCAGCAACTGCATTCAGAGAAAAATGGGACAATAACTTTTTTTGAGAAATTTAATTCTTCGTAAAAAAAGTCATTTGACGTTTTCCGACAAATTCAACAGTTATCGAGATATCAGTGACATTTCAAAACTCAATTTTTCGATCAATAAGCCGACTCATCTCACGGAGTAATCACTAAAAATTACCCCTGGAAAATAACATCAAGCATCGGCGCCACATAGACAATTCAACCGTCTCTTCGTCTTGATTATTCTCATGCCCGTATCCTCACTATAATAATCATAATAAGTGGTTACTGAAGTTACACAAAAACCCGTCGTGGATATTTCCATGGCTGCAAACCCCTTCGATAATAATTTGTAATTTGCTACTGGATTTCCATCAAGGTTGAGGATGAAAGAAGGGAAAATTGTGTGTATAGGTAAAGGGCGGGGTTAACTGTCGCTACTGCGTCTGCGTGCGAGTCCCGATGAGGGGTAAATACATGACTAGCCCTGAGGAAAAAATTAAAAATCATTATTTTGTTTTTTTTTTTGTTTTTTTGTTTTTTTTTTCAAAGAATTCAGTTTTTATCCTTCTAGAATGTTTTGTAAAGATAGTAATGAAGCAAGCGCCCTTAGCATGGCAATAAGGCAAGGACGGGTTTTCGCTCATTCTGTCTGAGGCCGTTGTCGCGCCAAAGCGAGTCAACTCGGGCTCTCACTCACTCCTCCCCTCCCTCACCTTTTTTTTACCATCCGTCGTTTAAAAGTCCAACGAGAGAGGCTCACACAATGTTAGCGCTTTTTTTTTCACTCAATTTAACCCTTTTTATTTTCTCGTAAAAACTCTCTGGATGAGTCTGAGAAACCAGTCACCAGAGATTTTTCTACCCTGAGTTGAGAGAGGACTCGTAACTTATATAGCTCAGAACTACGGCAGAAATTTCTCTTGGCTCTGTCTTATCCCCGGACAATTCTACAAATAGACTTTGTGCAGTGAGTTGCAATTCTGTAGGGAAATTGTAAAAAGGGTAACTGGAGATGAGAGACGAACTTTAGAGAGAATTTTGGGAATATATTTACGGAGAGTAAATGTGGAGAAAATTTTCCAGACATATTTTCATAGAGAATTTCCCCCAAGTCCTTCGTTTCGAAGACCTTCCAAAAATGGCCAAGAGAAAATTAGTTTTGAAACTAGAGGCTAATACAAATAATCCTACAAACATACTTCTGCAGACAAATGATTTTCTCTGCAACCCCCGAAATTACCGAGTGAAACACTCACCGAAACAAATCACGTGACCCCTTCTACCACTCATCTATCCTCAGCCCAAAACGAATCCTCAAATTCGTTCTGTCCTTATACCCCCCGTCGCCGCCCCTTCACTACTTTCAAAGTTTCACCTTTACATTCTTCCCCCGCAATCCTTCGTCGACTTATCCTCAAGAAAAAAGAAACCTTCTGCAAGCTGAACTCCTGGAGTGCAGGAATTTTTATATCCCAACGAGGGTCTTAAAAAAAGATTAGGAATTAAAATTAAAATGCCCAAGTCTAGATGCCCTTTTCCTTCCTTCACTTGATTTAATTCTGATACAAATGAGTAGCAATGATAAATACCCACGGAATGAAAAAAAATCCGAGATAAAAAAGAAATTGGTCAGATTAGTACTGAATCGTTTGGATCAACAGTGGTGCTTGGCCACCTAGCTCAACTCGAGGAGTTGCACGTTGCGCATCGATACACGTCTACTAACTTACACCTAATCATGCCAGCCAGTAGCGCACGGTCTAAGTGATTTTTTGACTGGTAACCTGGCGCACCCGTCTACCCAGTACAGCTGAATCAGCCAAAAAAGTTATTTGATTTCTAATTAAGATTAGAAAATCATGATATATCAATTTGAAAAAATACGAAATAATCGTCGGAGGTTGGGTTTGAACCCACAACCCTCAGATTTCCAGTCTGAGCCTTTACACATATGACTATCCACTGGATAATCGACCATTCGATATCTTGTGGATCAGTTGAAACAAGAGAGACAGTGAGGAGGGAAAGAGGCTCGACAGGACAGAACAGTGAATAGGAGGAGCGGATCCCTCGTGCCTTTCGTGTTACTACACACACCCCGAGAGACTCTCCTTTTCCCCCTTCGACCCGCAAATGCGCGCCACCAAGAAAAGCCGGTCCGGCACCGACTAATACCGTCTGTTTGTACCCCAGTGTCAGTTCGTTCGAAAGCCTCGGGAGAGTAACAACGCAGCGTACGCATTTCAACTATTTTCGATACTTTGTTTTTGCGCATATTCGCATTTTGGTTTAATTTTTAATGTTATTTAAATTACATGGAAATTGAATTGGTTCGATGATTGCTACGCGATAATTCGAAGATCGTTCTTCGTATCGATTATTGAATAATTCAAAATTGATTGGAGTTGAAGTTTTCTTTTTGTATTGATACCTTTCGAAAGTTTTTTCCTTGAACTTTTGATTCAGGAACTGGATTGTATATCCTTGTTTAATGGCTTAAAAAAATATTCGGACATATTTAGGTATTGATTTACGGCTGAAATCAATGAATTAATTTACTTTTTTCAATGTTTGAATTATCTCAGTAATTATTAATTCTATAAAGAGAAAGACATTTTTTGTGAAAAATTTTGATACCTATAAGGAAGGTCTTCATGGAAAGAAAATGAGTGTGAAAAAATAAGTTGATTTTTCTTCGAAAGGTTCCATCGATAATTGAGACATTTTCTAAAATTATTAATTTCAGGAGAGAGAATTGAACTCAGCAAAAGTGGATCAACAAATTGAATAAGTATTTTTATACTCACAATAGAAAAAGGAAGTAGGATTAAGTGACGATGGCGTATGACGACGTAATATTACGAATGGGAGAGTTTGGGAGATATCAGAGGAAAATTTATCTCCTTCTGTGCCTACCAGCGATTATATGCGCCTTCCACAAGCTCGGAGGCTTTTTTCTGGGAGCTTACAATCCTCACAGGTCAGTACCATAAATTTTAAAAAATCATTTCACTAGTAAAATCATGAAAATGAAAGTAATTAAAATCCCTGTCACAGATATTCACGAAAAACTAATGATTAATTTGATTAATGATACTTTCATTGCAGTTTGAATGAATTAATTTACACAATTAACTCAATTGCCTTGATTTTATTTGATTTTAGATGTTTACTGCCACATGAATTTTCAGGAAACGCGACATTCTACATGAGTCCCGAGTCCTTAAACGCAAGTTACGAGTGGGATCCAAAAACTCAAAAAAGTTTAACATGTTTTATACGTGATAACACAACGAGACTGTACGAAAATCATGAAAATAATGGGAATGATACGAATGACATAACACGAACAACGGTACATACGACCTGTCGAGAATTCGTCTACGACACCAGCATCTACAAAAGTACAACTACAACGGAGGTATGCCATTAGCATAGTCATAATTATGTCCAGTTACGCGTAGGATATGTGAAGAAAAATGAATGGGAGGATTGAAGATAAACCGGTAAAATTGTGTTGTTGAGTTACGGACAAAAGATGTTAAGATACACGGGAGGAAGTGGAGAATTATTATTGACTAATTTAGTAGAAAAAAAAAAAATTTCAATTCAGAATTTTGAATGAAATCAACAAAATAACAATTTTCATCACGAGATATTCTTTCCGTTTATGTCGACCTGCCATTGCCCGAGACAATGTATTCTTCGGGTGAAAACAATTTCCTAATACTTTGTCAAGAAAATAAAATAAAAATATCTGAGAGAATGAAAAAAAAAATGAATAAATGTAATTTTTCCAGTGGAACTTGGTATGTGATAAAGCATGGCTGCGAGCAATGGGGGATTCACTGTTCATGGTAGGAGTCATGCTTGGCTCAATGATATTTGGTGGTTTGTCCGATAAATTTGGACGTAGACCAATTTTCTTCCTGTCTTTAGTCATTCAACTGGTAGGTGGTATTCTCGTTGCTGTTGCTCCAGAGTACATATCCTACGTTATCTTCAGACTGATAGTCGGCTCGACAACCAGCGGAGTGTTCCTTGTGTCCTATGTCATCGGTAAAACTCCTCGACAATCAATTGTCTACTTGAGTACACATCACAACAACAAGTAACACGAGTCGAGTTGTTGTTTTCATTGGAAAATATTTTTCATTACGTGGTTTCAGCACTTGAGATGGTTGGACCGAAGAAACGCCTTGTTGCTGGTGTTGGATGTCAATTGTTCTTCACAACTGGGTACATCATGACTGCGGGATTTGCTTACTTCATTACTGATTGGAGGACATTGCAAATTGCCATCACAATACCCAGTTTTGCATTTTTGGTTTATTGGTGGTAGGTGATATATTTTTTTGACAAGTATTCATTTTTCTAAAAATGTCAATTCGTAATCATGATTATTACGATGATACTAGGTTCATCCCAGAGTCAGCCCGTTGGCTGTTGACAAAGGGGAAAGTGGAGGAGGCAAAGGACCTCCTCCAAAAGGCATCCAAAGAAAATGGAATAGAAATACCACGCAACACCATAGACTGCCTCCTCAATGACTCCATAGAATCCAAGTCAGCTTGTGAACAAGCTTCTCTGTTCGATCTCTTCCGTTACCCAAACCTCAGGCGAAAAAGTGTTCTCCTGTTCTTCAACTGGTAACTTAAACCCATTCATTTCATTCAAACTTCCTTGATCTGTTGATTATTTTGTGAACGAGTGGTTCTATGATTGAAATAATTTAATAGTAGAGATAATTGGAAAAAAATAAATCCCTGTGATTTATTGAGATTATATTTCAATTCCTGAACAAAATGTTATTTCAATTCTCATTTTGAGGGAAATGTAGCACAGTATAACATTTGAGGAAATGAGAAAAATCGTCAGGCGTTGGGTTTGAACCCACGACCCTCAGGTTTCCAGTCTGAGTCCTTACACACATGGCTATCCACTGGATGCTTAACCACTCGATATCTTGTGGATTAGTTGAAATGAGAGAGGAAGACGACAGGGAAAGGGAATTGACGGGACTGAATAAAATAAAGTTTTTGCTCATGTTTAAATGAGAATGATCAATAAAGGGTTAATGCCAATGTCACATCAACTCCTTTTAATTCTTAAATATTTTATGGTGAAGGCTGGTCAACAGTGGTACATACTACGGTCTCTCCTGGAATGCCTCGAACCTCGGTGGCAACGATTACGTAAACTTCGTGGTATTGGGCCTGGTTGAGGTGCCAGCGTACACATTTCTCATCTTTACATTAGACCGTTGGGGGCGAAAAATCATTCTCGGCGGTTGCATGATTGTGTCTGGCGTTGCACTTCTACTCACCATGGCTGTCCCCGAGGGTAATACGAGAAGTCTAATTCACTTTGTCAGCATTTTTGCATTCTTACACTCAAATTATTGGAATTCATTTCCAATTGGTAATCTAAATTGCATCGACGATTGATATTCTTTTACTCAAATTTCAGATAATACCACAGCTATCGTTACACTAGCAATGGTTGGAAAGTTAGCGATAACTTCGTCGTATGGGGCAATTTATATATTTACTGCTGAGCAATTTCCAACTGTTGTTCGCAATGTTGGCCTTGGCGCGTGCTCCACCTTCGCAAGAATTGGTGGGGTCATTGCTCCTTATATCAATCATTTGGTGAGTGGAATACTTGATCAACAAATTTTATAGATGACCTGATGAATTTTAATTGGAGTTTGAATTGGAGGTTTTTCAATTGGCCGAATTGCGTATTCAGTCGCCAGTGAATTGCCTTCGTAACTGTGGGTTTACCTCCTTGAAGAGTTAATTTACGAGGAAAAGTCTAAGGACCTTTTTTGAAGATTAGGAAATTCTCTACAGAAAATGTTTTCTGGCATTTTTCACAAAAGTGTGTCATTAACTAAATAATTGCGAAATAAGACCAGCAGATTTTCACCTATTTCTGGATTTTTTTTTTCGCTCCAATGGGTTTAATTAATCAATTAATTATTGATTACAGGCTCTCATCTGGACACCCTTCCCCCTAGTTATCTTCGGCACAAGCGCACTTCTGGGGGGTGTTGCATCGATGATGCTTCCTGAGACACTGAACAAAAAATTACCAGAGACAATTCGTGATGGTGAATTATTCGGAAAGTGAGTTTAGTTTTCTTTTGAAATTTCTGTTTTTTCAAACTCACTACACCTGTTCGTAATTAAAAAACATGTTATGCCACAAATTCTCGCATTCTGTTGATTCACCAATAGGAAAGAAAGTTGGAAAACGAAAAAAGAGAAGCAACGCCAACAGATCCAACAACTGGACGTCCAACAATTGAACGATATTGAGTCGATAAAGCCACTTAAAGCCCTTGAGAATGGTGTCCACGATTCAAAGCAGAATGGATGACCCAGCCCACCGGTTCCCTAACAAAATACAAATTAATCATAATCTCTCAGTATTTTTTTTTGCTACCACCACTCTACCCCTCTTTCGCGGCTTATGAGCTCGATCAGTGTGATCAATATCAATTCACCACGATGAAATTGGAAGCTGGGGCGTGTGTCTGTGGAGCGGCAATCCACCGCTGACAAAAATGAACAAAATAAATAATGACGAAATAACGTTTTATAAACATAGTACTGTCTACACGGCATTTTGAAAATTCTTTGTTATACGAAGGCGTTTCATTTTTATATGCGTATTATATTTGAAGTTATTGTATATGTACAATTGATATTGTACATGTATTATTCATTTGGCAGACTGCATTTTTGATACATGAATGAGAAAGTAAACAAACCATTTGTTGAAATGAAGTTGTTGTTTTTATTTCTTTAAATTTTTTTGCGATTTCGTTTTTCGCGATTATCTCGGAAACTATGAGAG